TTTTAATATAAATTTATAATAAAAAATATAATATTACACCTTAACTTATAATTTTTAAATCATATGTTAAAAAACCTTAATTAATCTACACAAACATGAATCTTAAAAACTCACAAGCAAGGTTTTTAAAATCGGACCGGATCGACCGGTTGAATCGGTCGGACCAGTACCCAGTGATGAAAATGATTCGGTTTACATAAAAAACCGTTTGAGGTCAAAATCGATCAAAACCGATCAAAATCGATCAAAATCGATAAAAACCAGTGGAACCGATGGAATCGAAAAAACCACCGGTTCAATTTCTCATGCAATCTTCTTTCAATTTTTTCCAATTTCACCCTTCCCATTCCTTTCTTATACCCATTTTAACTTTTAATTTTAACAAAATTACAAAATTATCAACACCAAATTAAAAAATCCATGCATGCAGCTTGCTCCTCTCATCAAATCTTCCTTGTAGTTTGAACCGATTGGTTCACCGGTTCAACCGATTGAACCGATTAAACAGAAAATCGAACCTGAAAATGGTTCAAGGATCGATCCGGTTTTAAAAACCTTGCTCACAAGGCCTACGCAATCAAAGCAACAGTTTAAACAAAACTAATTTCAGCAAATGTAAGCTTGAAATCAATAGTAAATTAATTCAGTAACAGCACAAGCAATATCTCCCTTGTCCCAGCATTAAGACAACCAATCCTTTCCTGCTGGTCCATCCAAAAATTTGGCAACATATTATCGGCGCATGTCAATTAGTCCTCACCAAGATGATGAGGTAATAAAAAGGATCGGATGACATCAAAATAATAGCGATTTTACTTTTAACAGCAGCATTCAACCTCTTAATTCAACAACACGTACAAAACGTTATCAATAATTTTTTAATGTTCAATCCATCATGTAGTGGCAACTTACCAAAATGACAGCATGTGTCTTCCAATTAAGTCCTAATGCAAGCCTGAAGATGCTTAAGTCTCCTGACTTGAACCTGTATGTTGGCTTAGTCACAGCAACCATCCCATTTTGACACAAGCAGGAAAAAAAAACTTGATGTTGAGTGATAATTTAGTATGTTCAAGGTCTCTCTGATTTAAGCAGGGAAACATTAGATAAGTGCAAAAAGCGAGGGAGCACTTTATCAAAAAAAAAAAAAGTGAGGGAGCATAAAAGTTTAAATATGTAACTATAAATTCATATCTTGAAAACACCTTTGATGAGCTAATTGTAGATATGAAGGATTGAAGAAACATTGTAATTGTATGGCATCAAGATGGAATCACTATAAAGAAAAACATGTGAATTATGAAGAGAAAAGAAACAAGAACAACAATGTACCATATCAAAATTTAAATTGCCACTCTTACTCGCAGATCTTCCATTTCCTTATCTAATGTTTGCATGGAGATTGAACAATTACTTTGTCGAAAAGTTATTTTGTGTATATAGAGTAACAGGGATTAAAACCTCCAAGGATTCTTATAAAGCTCATCCTTCTTAATCCATAATAACATTTTACCAGTAAAATGGAACTATATAGTTAGGGAAAATGATTGGTATGTTTTCCAATTCAACACATTTACTAACACCCTCTGGTTTAGTTATTAAAATTTATTTTTAAAATTTTTCCCACTTTAAATTCAAATATGAAAATATTAGTTTCTTATAAAAAGAACTAACAAATTAAGTGCAAATACATTACAACAATGCAGCCAAACAGATTCTCTTGCAAGAAATTGCACATCAAAAGCAAGATACTTAAACTTTTAATAGTTCAAAAAAAGAGAAAGTTCTTCTTATGAGCCTTGGGTTTTGATTGTTCTTTCAATTGTTCTTTCTATGAAAAAATATGTAAACATCATCAAATAAAATTATGAAGAGAAATCATATTTGGAATTGAATCTATTAAATCTATTAAATCCCAAATCTAATTGCTTGCCACCGAGTACTTTTTTCATCGTGTTCATGTTGACTTTGATTTCCCTTGATTTTTTGCTTGGTAAATTTGACCACAGATTTTCATATAAAAACTGGTAAATAAAATTTATAGTCGGAGTAACACAGAGTCCTAACTCCTCATACCTCATTGCACAAACAGGAAGAATTCATTTAGAAGGAAATTAAATTTACAAACTAAATTAAATTCTCATTGGATGAGAAACACAAATTATGTAAAAAATCCTTATCCTGATATTAAACATAATCTTAAACCAACTACTAATTCCCAGTATGTATTCCTACTAATAAAACCAACTACAACTCACACGGGCCACATGCGAAACAGTTGGCGTGCATGAGAAAGGGACCGCCTGCATTCCTCTGAATGAGAATATCCTCTGCTTGGACATCAATGATCCAAATGGAGATGGATGCTTGCTTCAGAACCCACTCCTCCGAAACGAATGAGATTGCTGACGCCAGTGGGATTCTTCAACTTGGATTTGATAGCAGAAGAATAGTAAAGGCATCCCTTGTGTAAATTTCCTCTTCTCCATCCTTTTGGTTTGATATGAGCCTTAAATTAGAGTCACAGACCATGGAACCAAGAGCAAAATCTTCATTGCCTAGGGCAAAAACTACGTTGTGTAAATCTAAAAAGAAGATGAAAACAATTGAGAACCAACCCAACAAATTCTGAGCGGAAATAGCAACTCCTTGTTATTTTCAAAAAGCAAACCCAGCAAATCAGGGGCACAAACCTAAGTAGGAAATCGTTCACAGAAGTAGAAATTGATCGAGCCATCGTGGGGTAGTTTCTTGCAATTTTTTTATAGCATAAGAACGCAAAACAACAAAAGCACATACCATCAAAACGTCTTCAGTGTTTGCCATTTTGGGCCACCTAAGCCCATTAAGGCTACATTGAAAGCGCTATTAACAATAAGGATTGATGTTTAATAGCCTTTAAAACTAGAATAATTCTTCCGTCTCTCGTAGAAGGCCCAATATATAGAGCCTTCTCACAAAGCTTTGGGTGACACCTTTGCATACACTAATCAATACGAAAAACAGTTACAATCCTCTTCTTCTCAATTTTTGGGTTTTTGTTTAAGAATTTTGATGATTGCAACCTTAAAATTCTCGTGTTGAGCGTTGTACCAGTTCTATGAAGCCACCTGCATTATATATTGAAAATCGATTATCCTTTAAATAGCTTCCTCTAAATTCCTCGGCCTTGCCCATAATTTCAATTTCTTCTATTTTCTAGATCTTTGGCTTTGCTCACATACAACAAAAACAGCCTATACCATTGCTCTCTGCCTCTTAGAGGGTGGCTTATCCTCGTATCGATGACTCTTCCTTTGCCAACCTCCTTATCCCATGTCGTAAATGCCCGCGTCTTCCACTCCTTGCGCCTCTACCAAACCCTCTTTCCTCAGCATGCTACCCCGGCCTGAACTGGTGGTATTCCCGTATGAGACCAAGCTTCCTCCCCCACATAGCCACTCCCTTGCAACCTCCCTTACCTAGCTCAACCCGTCAAGAAGCAGCCTTTAGCCTTTTCACCTGCCCCCTATACCCTCCCTTTTCCACACAGCAGCCGCACCACTCATGGCATCTTCCCCAGATAAATTAGAAATCAAAAAATATAATCAAATATTAGCAATTATCATTAAGAATATTAAAAGTCTCAAGTCAAAAACAACTAGCAATTATAATAATTGGTAATTACAAAAGAGAAAACCATAAAGAAATGATTTAATGGTTAAGATTTTAAAATTTTAAATTAGAAATTTTAAATTCTAATTTTGAGTTTAATAGGAAGAAATTTAAGAAGGTTAAATGCTAAATTTGGTCCCTCAACTTTAGTGATTTGCACATTTTTGGTCCCTTAATAATTTTTTGCACTTTTTTGATCCCTTAACTATACGAAATGCACTCCGTTAGTCCTTTTGTTAATTCGGGCCGTTAACTCGCTTATGTGGCATTTTTTATAATTTTTTTTATGACGTGGCAAAAATGATTTTAAAGAACGTTGATTTGGAATTTTTATTTAAGCCACGTTAGTGCCAACTCACTGCCAACTCATCAACCAATTTTGCCTTAATAAAAAAATAAAAAATTACAAATTTACCCCTCTTCCCCTATTATCCATCTTCTTCCCCTCTTTCGATCATCTTCTTCCTTTCTTCTTTTTCTTTTTCTTTCTTCCTCTCCTTCCTCTATGTCTGCTGCTGGGTTCCTTTTCTTTTTCTTTCTTCCTCTTCTTTCTTCCTCTTCTTCCTCTTCTTCCTCTATTTCTGCTGGGTTCCGTGAACCCAGCTACACTTTTTTGCTTGTTTATTTTTGTTATATGTTGGTTTGCTCCAAGACATTATATCTTTGTTATATGTTCAAAATGGAAATGGAAAGAAGAGAAGCAGTTGGGCAAAAGCAATTTTTAGTGTGTTTTCATTTGTTTGGCTGGAAAAAGATATAGTTTGGGTGTTTGGATGCCGAGAAAATGCTTTGAATTTGGGTGTTTGGATGCTTTGAATTTGTTTAATTGGCAAGATTGGTTAATGAGAAATTATAATGTCTGTTAAAGAAAAAAAATTGTGTTGTTAAAGAAAAAAAATTTGATGAGAAAATGGTGATTTAATTATAAATTAATTTA